TTAAAGTATTTTTTCTTTATTGATTTTAGAGACAGAGGAAGGGAGAGGGAGAGAGAGAGAGAAACACTGATGAGAGAGAACATTGACCAGCTGCATCCTGCATGCCCCCCACTGGGGATTGGGCCTACAACCTGGGCATGTGCCCTGACCAGGAATTGAACCGGCGACCTCTTGGTGCCTGGGTCGATGCTCAACCACTGAGCCTCACTGGCTGGGTGCATATAGCACCTTAGGAAAGAAAAACAAACTCTCAGAAGTGACAAAACAAAGTAAAAGGGTCTTAGGCTTTTGGGGGTGGCAAGCTGGGGGGGCTAGCTGCGAGGGAGAAACCAGAAGAAGATGAGTTGTTTTAGTCGTTAGTTATGCAGCTTCCTCTCTCCGTGCGTCTCAGTGCTGCTAGAAGTCTCTGGTGGTTTAGGGTGATCTCCCCTTCCTGGTGCAGGGCGGGCACCTGCCTCACCAGCAATGTTACATCCGGGTTTAGGTGGAGAGGAAGAGGTCAGGGCCCCTTTCCCATGTCTGCTGTTTCTCGTGTCTTCCAGACAAAAGGGTTAATATGTCAGAGTAACATAATTCGGGCTGGCATGCTTTCTGGGAAAGGGACATCAAAATGGGATATTCAGTGGGATCGTGGCTGCCTTGATGGCCACCCAGCGCCTGGTCAGCTGAGGGGCCCGAGGTCCACCACCTTGATCAAATCACAGCTGGTGCGCGGGCACTTCTGGGCATTCTGTGTTGAAAGAGGCTTTGCTGGAGTGGGGATGATCCAGAACTTCACTGCCTCGCCCTGGGGTCTCGTGGAGATGCGGTCCTGGTTCAGTTCACCGAGGGCAGCCCCAGAGCGCTCGTGAGCTCCGGGTGCTGCTGCGGGCTGAGGCGCTGCACTTGCGCAGGACGGAGACCAGGTCCTGCGAGACCCGCTGGAGGATCCCCAGGGTGAACTCAGCGAAGCCGTAGGCAACCTGGGGGACATGGCACTCGTTCCCCATCTTTGGAAGAGGTGTGTCCTCACTCACTGCCACCCCGGAGGGCAGATTTGGAAATGGGGGAGGGTAGGGGTACAATTCTGAGTCAGCACAGGGGTGGGCCGGCGGCTGGGAGAGCTTTGAGATGACCCTCAGAGGCGAACGGTCGTCCAGGGGGGAGGCTGTTTTCCACAGTTTCCTGTGTGGGTGGTGAACTGGATGGTTTCAGAAGTTCCACCCGTTCTGGGAGGAGGCATTATTCCAGGAGGCTGTCACTCCGTTGGCTTCAAGGGTTCAGATGGGAATGGTTCTGACTGTCCTGCGGTCGAGCACGTGAGGTCCTTGTTGAAAAAACAGCACGGGACGAAACGCACAGTCAGAGCCTGCGGAGGTGGCGAGTACCCGGAGCCCGGGCACGTGGACAGCACTGAGGGCTGTTACCCAACTCCTGACGCCACACGCTGGAGGCGCAGGAATAGAAAACCCACCCACTTTCCCGACGGGGCAGACAACTCCGTGCATCTTAGCCACCCCCACGGTCTGTCCCTGGTGCCCTTGGTCCCAAAACTCAGAGAGAAGAGCTAAACTGAAGAGGCAAGAAACAGCACACTGTTTTAGAAAGGCCCTACAATGGGGAATTGGGGATTTGCAAAATGGATCCATCAGCATCTGGACGTTGAACATAATACATATTCAAAGTAAAACCCAGCCCCCACCACGCGTAAACTGCAGGACCTCCGTGGAGCCTGGTTTTGGAATCGGGGGGTTTCTGTGAGGAGGGGAGTTTTGTTATTTCACATAGGAGTACATGTTTATTTTGGTGCGTCAAGTCAGCCAAATGCTTCTAATGCTGATCATTTGTTTGGAAATATTTGCAAATATTTGTGAGGGACCAATTTTTTCAACGATCACCCAGAAGATGTTATTAATGTAGACGCCCCATCTGGAAACTGTAGGCAGCACACTGTTGGTTTTGTTTGTTTGTTTGTCCTTCTCTTCCAAACTCGATTTTCTAATTAAATTATTCTAATAATCATCTCCCTTGTCTGCTTTCAGGCCGTGGTCGCCTCCACTCGCACACCGCGGCAGAATCGCATTTTTGTTTTCCGACTTTCCCTTTGGTTGGGTTAATCATGGAGACATTGATTCGATTGGCCGAGGTGCCTCAGACTCAGTAATTAAGACATATTCCGCTTACAGAGATGTAAGCTCACTGGCAGGAGCCGGAGCAAGTCGTGTGGGGAGAATGGGGAGTGGATGCTCCCCTGCCTTTTGGGGTGTGGCTGTGCCCATGGCTGTGATGGGGCACAGGGGGAACCAGAGTGCTCCCCACTGTCCCCCGCACCCCAAGTGCAGGTGGGACCTGGGGGAACCTCGGCCCAGTTTTGTTAGCGATGTGAGAACACGTGGCTGGAGACAGGTAGAGAATTTCTCCTGTAGCTCTGGTGGCCCAGACGAGTCTCTCCCGTGGATGATAACCTCCAGGCCCAGCCCAGTACCTTCGCCATCAGGCTGCTTTCCCTGCTCGGGCGCCGCTGGTCTGAGCGTCCGCGTCTGTGATGAGGTCGGTCAGGTAAGAGCTGGGGAAGGGACGGAGCTTTGACCGCAGACGATGACCAGGGCCCTGCCTGATAAGGAGGCTCCGGTTGGAATGAGGGGCTCCTGGAAGTGCAGCAGGGAGGCAGCAACCCCGGCTTCCTGTGCTGGCCTTCGGAGGGGCACTGTTCTGGGGTGAAAGAATGTGGTTTACTTAACAAACACTGTGTTGTGCTTTTTAGGTGCCAGGCACTGTGGAGTGCACCTTACAAATACTAGTCCATTCAGTCCTCCTCCTAGTCCCATAAGGTTGCTCACACCCCATTTTACAGATGAGGGCACGGAGGTACACAGCGCGCGTTACTCGACCAGTTGCCCAGTAAATGGCCAGCTGGAGTCTGGACCCCGACAGGTGGGATTTGAGTCTGTGCTTGTCACTGGTACATGACACCGAATATTCCAGCTGTTTCCTTCGCAAGGGATGGGGAGGCCTCCAAGAGAGCCAAAGGCAGGTGTACCCGAGGCAAACCTGGACCAGCAGGAGGCAGAGCCAGTGAATTTTACCACGTTGTTACAAAAAGAGCTTTTGCTACAAATTCCTCAGGCTATGCAGGGTCCAGAGGGGCACCGATGTGCCTTTTACCTGCTGTAAGATACGCTAGGTTTGCTCCGTCATTGTTTCCTTTATTTCTTTATGTGAAATAGATCTTAAGCCTTATTATTTTTGCTTGGCAGTCTAAATACTTGCTAAGCTCACCTCTTCAGATTTATTTCTTTTAGGTTAAGATCCAGTTTTTCCCAACAATGGTCTTGCATGCAGATACCCTGAGGGTGAAGGACAGGGCAGATGAACTTGGCAGTGGGAAGGGGTTGACCAGAGATCAGAAAGCCAGCCAGCTGGGCTCATGGGAAGGGGGGAGACTGGTCGGGTGGGACCTGTTTTGATGAGAACATGGGAGAGCAGTCAGTTCTCTGTGTTCACTTCAGAGTGAGGGTAGCTGTCTTTTCTGTTTGAAAATATGACTAGTCTACCCTTCCTAAAATGCGGTTGAAGTGGGATCTAAAGGAACAACCAGACAATTTCTTTCACCTTCATGCAAAAATATTAAGCATTGGAACCCAGTGCTCGCTTCAGCAGCACATACACTAAAACTGGAACGATACAGAGAGGATCAGCAGGGTCCCTGAGCAAGGTTGACACGCAAGAAGCGTTCCATGTTTAAAAAAAAAAAGAATTAGAACCCAGCTTATCAATTCCAATATGTAAGAGGATGTCTCAGTTCAATAGCATTAACTTTTTAAAAGATGTATTATGTGTAAACGAGGATGACCACCTTAGACTGTTGTAAAAATGGAAGTTTTAAATGGATGTTTTAAAAATGAAAGTTCGCCCTGGCCGGTAGGCCTGCAGAGCAGAGAGACCCGGGTTCGGTTCCCGCTAAAGGCAGGTACCTTGGTTGTAGTTTGTCCCCGGGTTCGGTTCCCACTAAAGGCAGGTACCTTGGTTGTAGTTTGTCCCCGGTCCCAGTTGGGGTCGTGTGGGTGGTGGCCAGTCGATGTGTCTCTCTCACATCCATGTTTCTCTCTCTCTCTTCCTCCCTCTCTCCCTCCTGCTCTATCTGAAGATAAATGCAAAAAAAAAGTCCTCGGGTGAGGATAAAAAATAAATAAGTAAAAAATGAAAGTCCCACATCAAGTCCCACATCCTGGGAACCCCCTCTGTGCCCCCGGTAGTCAGGGACTGTTGGTTGCTCTAGGGCTAACACTTTGCAGAGTAGATTACAGACATCCAATGGAACTCCTATTTACTGGAAATTGTCAGTGTGCCCCCTACACCCCCTTTTTTAACAAATGAGAAAATAGAGGCTCAGATTGGTAAAGAAATTGTCCAAGGCCATCCAGGTGTAATCTTGGAACTGAAATGCAAGACTCCTGGTTTGTTTGATTCTTAACTCACCCCTTTCCCTTCATCCCCCCAGTTAGGACCTGTATTTAACATCCCTCCCTTCTTTGTCTACTTCTTCATCCTAATTCCTCCCCCACCCCCACACCTGCCCAGACTTCGCATTGCCCACAGGCCTTTTCTCGTCCTCACTGAAACTCTCTGTACTTGAAGTAGCATGGGTCCTTGTTCTAGGTCTGCGGCCCCGCAGCACCCCCTGGTGGTGGCAGTGCTCTGTATTTGCACCGTCTGGGAAGGTAGCCGCTAGTCACCGAGGGCCCTGGAGCACTGGAAGTTGGGTAGAGCCTCTGAGGAACTGAACTGTAATTCAGTAGCCACCTGTGGCAGGAGGCGTATAGCTAGCTCATTAGTGCTTCACTTGAGAATGCGAGCGCCTGTCACCGAGATCGAACCGGGTTCATCAGTGTTGGGCTCCAGTGTGAGCGCGTGTCGGTTCCGCGTCTGTGATCCTGACCTGTCGGGCTTGTTGTCTCACTAGTTTCCCTTCTTTGGTCTCATCCTGCTTTTCGTGGTTTGGGGATTTTGGTTTCTTACAGGTTCAGAGGAATGAGGACAAATCTATGACCTTGAAGCTGGCTGACTTCGGCCTTGCAAAGCACGTGGTGAGGCCAGTGTTCACTGTGTGTGGGACCCCGACTTACGTTGCACCTGAGATTCTTTCCGAGAAAGGTAAGTGTGACGTGTTGCTCTGGGGACTCGTGCTCACTCACTCACTGATGTTTCATTGTTCACTATTTCCGGTTCACACTTTCCGATGCGGAGCGGTCAGAGCTCCCAGAGTGGCGCTGAGCTGGCACTTTGGTGTTCGTGGAGATGTTTTTTTTTTTTATCCTCACCCGAGGACATTTTTTCCATTTTTTGTTCAGGTAGAATGGGAGGGAGAGAGAGGAAGAGAGAGAGAGAGAAACATCGATGCAAAAGGGACACATCGAGTGGCTGCCACCTGCACGACCCAACCATGGCCGGGGACAAACTGCAGCTGTGGTACATGCCTTTATGGGAACCGAACCCGGGTCTCTCTGGACCACAGGCTGACGCTCTAACCACTGAGCCAAACCGGCCAGGGCCATGGAAATGTTTGAAGCAGTTCTCCTCGAGTCAGGCGTGAGAACTTTGTGCAGATCAGGGCTGCCCTCATTACAGAGACGGGATCACAGCTCGTGCCACACGTGACTCACCCCGTGTGCTACCCAGCCCCGAACTAACCTGTCCCCTGTTCACTGTGCATCCATTGATCGTGCACCTGGACGTCACAGCCATGTCAGATAAGAGTTTCCAAATGTCTACTTATAATTTCTGGGCTTATTTCATCACAGACCAGTAGTCCAGTGGCAGTGGTCTGAGGTCCTCACTTCGAGTGACCCTGGCGCGGACCCCATGCTGTAGGAGTTGGCGGTCACGTGTTTGGACGTGGCTCTGCTTGCTGAGAGCCGAGGTCCTCTGTGACCCAGAGCAGTGGTTCTGCACTGTCTCCCTCCTTGGATCCAGCCTGGTCTCAGCGGCGCTGTGTCTCTGCCTCCGCTGCACAGGTTACGGGCTGGAGGTGGACCTGTGGGCCGCGGGCGTGATCCTCTACATCCTGCTGTGTGGCTTCCCGCCGTTCCGCAGCCTGGAGCGGGACCAGGACGAGCTCTTCAGCATCATCCAGCAGGGCCACTTCGAGTTCCTGGCCCCTTACTGGGACAGTATCTCTGAGGGTGAGACTTGGGGCTTTCAAGCTCGGGAATGGGGGGTGTGCAGCGGAGCCCATGCTGGGTTCTGGCTGTGAGCAGGTCTAGGTCAGGTGTGGGATAGGACTGCGGGGCTCACTCCTGCACCCGGCACGGAGGTGGACTGTCGACATGCGCTGCATCCTTCATTTCCCGCTCCGTCAGTCTGTGCCTCAGAACACGACCGGCTTTGAGATGTGATGAGTCACCAGAGCCTCTTCTGTAGGCAAATACAGAATATCAGAAGGGACAAGAATGTCAAAAACATATGGCCCTCATCTGTAAAGATCAAAACCACCTCATGCACAGAGACACATTTGTGAGTTGAATAGACTAGAGATGCTTGTTTTGCTTGAGAAAAACCAGGGGTCTTGTAGGGCAGACAGGGGCTCTGCATGCAAAGGCGCGAGGGTCTCCTTTTCGACCCTTTCAAATGGAATCTTTCCCTGGTTTTTCCCGATTTGCCTGTTCTACTCGCTGCCCTTGTGAGATGGAGAACTAGATAATTGGGGACTTTGAGTCTTGAGCCTAAAAAGTAGAATAGGAATGATAATCCCCCCCCAGTTTCCCCCAGACTTGTCACTTGAGATTAGTGACTGAACTGCCCTCATCCCCAGCCTCTGCCTCTTCTCTGGGGTCGGGGATGCGGGACAGGAAAAGCGTCATCTCCCCGCTTGAATCGGGAGCAAGAGGCGTGGTTTGCTGCAGGCGGAGTGAGGGTGTGGAGCTGGTCGAGAGCATAAAGATTACAGGTCATTTTAGAAACCCTCTGCAGCCCTGCCCTTGCATCTGGGCATGGTGGCCTCTGCTCTGGCTACACCCCTCTCCACAGAGTGAGGAGGCTGTGGGGCCACGGGGGTGTCCCCAGAGGCCGGTCTTCCCTCCTAGACCATTTCATCAGGACCCCAGACTTCCCTTCCCAAGTGGCCCAGCCTCACTTCTGACGCTGGTGCGGCCTCCTTTCCTAATGCTGCAGGGAGGCCGAGGACGGACTTCGTCTCGGGGGTGTGGAGAGAGAGTGGGCATGTTGGCGGGGCGTCCAGCGTCCACACATGTACACAAGAGTCCGAGAATTCCCAGTCTAAACCTGCGCCTGGAGCCCTTTGAGGACCCGAGGGGGCGATGCTGGTTGGGTGGGCACCGGGTGCCACGCGGGAAGAATTTCCTGTCTTACTTTCTCCTTCTCTCCCTCCAACAGCTGCCAAAGATCTGGTGAGCCGGTTGCTGGTGGTAGACCCCAAAAAACGCTACACGGCCCACCAAGTCCTTAAGCACCCCTGGATTGAAACTGCTGGGAAGGCCAGGGCCGCAAACCTGCAGGAGGGGTCCCCCGGCAGCGAGGGCCCCGTCCAGGGCCAGCACGCGCGGGCTGCAGAGCAGGCACCCGAGTCCCCGCCCCCGGCCCCCCTCCAGCCCCCGTCTGCTCCAGGACACAGGGAAGAAGTTTAGGAGAAACACAATGGAAAGGACTTCTTCACACAACTGGAGAATCAGGCGAAGGAGAGATGCTCAGTCTATTTTAAAAAATAAACTCGAGTCTTAATGTTAAATGTTGTAACATATTTTTAGATGTGTATATTTGAAGCCTTTAATACATGTTTTTTTTGGGGGGGGGAGGAGGGAAAGACTTGTTATCAGTGAGGACTTTTCGGTAATGATGTGTTTTGCTTCCTCTTGTAATCCAGTTCATGGTATACATTGTGAGTGGCGCTTCGCGGGGTCTCAGCGCCCCCGTGAGGCGAACGCGTGAATCAGAGTCTGTGTGTTAATAAAACGCGCTCCGAATGACGCACGTGGCCCTGTTCTGATTGCTTCCTAGTGCGGGTGGAGAGCCAGGGAACCATAGCAACCTGTGCCTCCCGAAGCCAGTACCGCCACGCATACCTGTTGTGATGGACACGGGAGGAACCACAAGGTCTGTTTATCGAGGATGTGCTGGTCTCAGTCACTAGCATTGGAGTCGTAGCTGAAAATCAGAATTGGTGCCGTCTGAAGAGTGGAAGACGAAATCATTGATTCCTTCTTGCCCTCTTGATGCCCATTCACCCTGCTTCTCAGCCAGTGGTCCCCGAGCCGAGGGACTTCTGCCTGAAGTTAGGCACCCAGGCTGCGGCCCCCTTAAGGTCTTCAGACCGCGGGGGAGCCGCTTAGTGTCTGCGTGTGTCAGACGTGCAGTAAGGGGTTGCACGCGGGCTCCCAGGAGCTCACCGTGTTCACGCCCGTTCCCACTGCAGGGCAGACACACGGAGGGCACAGAGGGCAGCTCCCTGGTTACTTCAGTCCAGGTTTCTGTGCCGAAATGCTGGTGTCCCCAGATGACTCGGGAAGTGTGCATGAGCCGAGAACAAAACATGATGCTGTGATTTACCTAGCTGACCTTTCTGGGTTACAGGCAACCTGGTCAGTAGGGTACAGGATCAGTCACGAAGTGGGGGTTTCTCAGCCCTCCCCTCCCTTCCCTGCGGTGCTGAAGTCCTCTGGCTGGGGGCGGGGCGGAGTGGGTCAGCCAGGAGCACTGGGGAGTGGAGGAGAAGGAGTTGTTTCGACGTTGGAGAACTCGTGCAAAGAGGCTCTGAAGAGATTAGAGACACTAACTGCGGAAATGACGGCCACTCCTGGGGGAGCCCAGGGAAGGGGTTGGGGTGATTAGAGCCTAGATGGAGGAGAAACCCCTTGTCGTGGGCACTCAGTGTGCCGCCCAGATCCCGCTTCAACACTGAAGGGGATGGGCTGCTGGGTGCCAACGGCTGACAGTCCTGAGCGGTCACCGTCCACGGGAATGTCTTTAGCTGGGAAGAGTCCGCTCACCCGCAATCATGACGCCCTCTCCCAGGGCAGGTCACATCCGATGACTGGTCCACACAGGGTGTGATCAGCGGGGTCAATGCCGATGGGCTGTTGTTCTCATAGGGTTGGCTGAGCCCTGGGTTGAGACAACATTACAGCCCAACCTCTCTGGCGCCCAGTCCTGCTTCTTTCCCGTCTCTTCCAGAGGGGATGACCTGGGGCCACTCTTTGGCATGCTAACCTTGACCTTGGAGTTGGCTTCCCAGGGAACAGAGCCCGTGACCCAGCCCCTCGAAATGTGGAACTGCTGGAAGGGGTGCTTTAGCCTTGGGGGCTTGGAAGAAGGGCCCCGGGGAGCTGGGGCTCACACGCGCAGTGCTGCCGCCCAGCGGGCAGCACAGTGATGCTCGTTCGGAAACCACGGAAAGAGGTGAAAGTAGCTGGAGTTGCTCCTGGAGCCAGTTTCGTGATAAAGTCACCACAGGCTGACATCCAAACGAGAGCCTTCGGTCTTCAGGTTAGTAGCACTGAATTCTGTGGACCACTCTGTTTTTGAATCATTTCTCCTGTTGACTTCTGTGATCCCACATTTTTCGGGGTTTCTTCCTGCATCCCTGTCTTCTTCTTTGGGTCTCCTGTCCAGGTTCACTCTTCTTCCACTTGCTAAAAGTTGTCATTCCATCGTTAGTCACTAGGGAAGCGCAAATCAAAACCACAGCACAATAGCGCCATACACCGAACAGAAGGCTAAAATGACACGTCTGTGATGAAGAGACTGAGCATACCAAGTATTGGCGAGGATGAGGAGCAACTGGAATTTACGTACATGGCTGCTGGGGATGTAAAACGGTCTCCCCCCTCTGGAGAATGACTGGGCAGGCCCTTTATCATCCTCACCCGAGGACATTTTTTTTTTTTTTTCATTTTTTGTTCAGATAGAGCGGGAGGGAGAGAGAGGAAGAGAGAGAGACAGAAACATCGATGTGAAAGGGACACATCGAGTGGTCACCACCCGCACAACCAACCAGGGCCGGGGACAAACTGCAACCGAGGTACATGCCCCTAGCGGGAACCGAACCCGGGTCCCTCCGGACCGCAGGTCGATGCTCTAACCGCTGAGCCAAACCGGCCAGGGCTGGGCAGGCCCTTTAAAAGTTAAACATGTACCTACCCTATGATCTGGCCATTCTAGGAGATTTTTACAAGAGAAATCAAAGTATCTGTCCTCACAAATATTGTACACAAATATTCACAGGTGCTCTATTTGTGGTAGCCCCAGAGTGAAAACAGCCTGGGGGTCCCTAAATTGGCGGGTGGATAGACAATGAATACTATTTGGTAATAAAAAGGCTCAAACTCTCGATACATGCAACAGCATGGACAATACTCGAAGTAAGAGACCAAAAGGAGTTAGACCAAAAAAGTTTACATTCTGGATGATTCTATTTGTGTACAATTCTAGGCAATGAAAACCAATCTAGAGGGACAGAAAGCAGATCAGGGGTTGATTTAGCGAGGCAGGTGGGAGGGGTTACACGGGAAGACCAGGTAACTTTGGAGGCGGTGGATATGTTCATTACCTTGAAGGTAACACTGGATGCATGGGTGTAGGTATGCCAAACCTAACCAAAGTGTACACTTTCGTATGCGCAGATTACGGTGTGTCCATTACAACTCAAGGCAGCTGTTAAAAATACTACCCTTGCAGTACCTTCAGGACTCGGCCTCGACTTTGAGACCAGTGCCCTTCTGTTCCTCTGTTCTCTGTCGGCAGCTTCGCCTGCACTCCGTCCGTGTGCCTCTTCCTCCCTCCCCGCCACACTGTCTCCCGTCCAGGCTTCTCTTCTAGGCTCAGACCATCTGTCCGTCCACAAGTCGGCATCGGAAGTTCCTCCAGGGCAGTTTGCCATCAAGCCCACACCCACGCTCCTCCCCTGCTCCGTCTCGGGATGGTTCTGCTGAGCACACTTAAGACATGGGCGCCATCCTGGACACCCCTGTTCCCCATCTGCAAGCTGGTCCATCCCCACTGGTTTTACTTCCTCAATGGTTGTTTGAATCTATGCACTTGATGTCCTAGTTCCCCTCCTGGTGGACAGTAAGGTTGTTTCTCACTCATTCTTTGTTATGACAAGCACACTGCCCTTGCCACCCGATGCCCTTCTCCTGGTGCACACGTGGGGGCGTTTCTCTTCTTAGACATAGAATAGCTTCAACGTGACCAGAGAGCGCCACCTTGATTTTGTATTAATTTACCTTCTCACAAAAAACAGTTAAAGTTTCCTCCTTTCCATCACGGTTTCCCGCAAGGTTTTTCTTTGTCATTCCTAAAATGTTCATATCTGGATATAATCGAGAAGTAACAACACAGAAGCTGCCTTCTAAACTTTGAGAATTGTGTGGCTGTTCTGAAAACAATGGCCCAGGAGGGCGAGTCACAGCCCCACTGCACAGACAGGGAGGCTGCAGCTCAGAGCAGTGACCTGACTTGCCCACTGTCACTTGGATTATCCAAGACGCCGCTGCCAGGTGTGGACCCCAGCATCCGATGGAGGCTGTGGCTGTCGGGAAGCACCCTCTGGTTACTTAATGCAATGTATTCACTGGAATGAAGGCGGTGTGCAGTTTCATGTCTGTTATAATCACTAGTGGTCATTTAAGAGCACACACGAGGGGCCAGGCACGGTGCCAACTCCTTGATATTTTCTCAGTGAATCCCCCGACCACCGCATGGCATAGGTATTTCATCTCACCCCAGCATCTCTCGCATGAATGACCATAGCCAGAGTGAATTTTAATTTTAATTTAAGTTATTTATTTATTTATTTATTTATTTATTTATTTTATCCTCACCCGAGGACATTTTTCCATTTTTTGTTCAGGTAGAGTGGGAGGGAGAGAGAGGAACAGAGAGAGAGAGAGAAACATCGATGTGAAAGGAACACATCGAGTGGCTGCCACCCGCACAACCGACCAGGGCCGGGGACAAACTGCAACCGAGGTACGCGCCCTTAGCGGGAACCGAACCCGGGTCTCTCAGGACCGCAGGCCGACGCTCTAACCGCTGAGCCAAACCGGCCAGGGCATAATTTTATTTTTTTTCTTTATTGATTTGAGAGAGAGAGGGAGAGATAGAAACATCGATGAGAGAGAACATCGATTGGCCGCCTCCTGCAAGCCCCCCACTGGGGATCGGGCCCACAACCTGGGCATGTGCCCTGACCAGGAATCGAACCGGCGACCTCTTGGTGCAGGGGTCAATGCTCAACCACTGAGCCACACCGGCCGACAGAGTGAATTTTTAAAACAAAAATGTAATCTCGTCCCCTCAGTTTACAATGACTACCCATGACCCTGAGAACACAACCCAACTCCTCACGGTGGCCTGGAGGTGCCGCGTCCACTGGCCCTCCCCACAGTGCCGATTTCATTCCCACCCCTCTCCTTGGCTGGCTCTGGGGTTGTCCCTCGGACACTTGTGTGGCTTCTCAAGTGTGCCAGCTCCTCTGGGGGCCTTTGTGCTGGCTGTTCCCTTTCTCCGGAATTACTTTCTTCAAGCTCTTTGAGGTCCGAGGTCAAATGCTGCCGCCTCAGGGAAGCGGCCTCCTGGAGGCGCTGTCCCATGTCCCTGCTTCATTCCCTTCAACGCACTTCTCTTTACC